TTTTTATCAAATAAATGTGGCCCTGCTGTGCAAAAAATTGTACTGACCCCAAACCTTTGAATGGTAGTGTATATGGCCACAAAACACAGTAAGCTGCCAAAAATATGTATCTACTACATGAAAAAGCATTGAGAATCATTTAGGAACTGTATCATTCTCTGAATCTAAATCAAATTGTGAGGTGCCAAGAGATTCCCAATGCTCACAAATGTTTGTGCTTCTATATTCTGTACATACCTTCTCCTTTGAGCAGATACTTCCACATGCAGTACGCCCACAACACAGACAGAAGCCCAGAGATGTAGAACACACTCTCCCAGCCATACAAGTCCAGCATCAGAGAGCCTATGCCTCCTATCACCAGAGTCCTACACACATAAACACAGTCACACAAATTCAATCTGAAAGACATCCGTTCCATTTCTAAATGTAACAGTGAAAGCAGACACAGTTAGAGATCAGATACTAACCCCAGGTATGAGCCGCTTCCTACTGTGCTCATGAGGAAGCCCCTCTCACTCTCCACAACTTTCTGAGAGCACAGACTGGCCAGTGATGGGTAGTGAACACCTGAGCATCACATGATAACAGCAAGAAAACAAACACTCATATTATGGCTAATAACCAAAAACGGTCAATATTATAAATCTATACCTTGTTTAAAATTTAAACATTTATTAGTTTGTGGTAACTAATATATAAATAACAGTTAAAAATAAATGAATATTTATTTTCTTAAATATTTTTATATATTTTAAGTAAATATTTTTTTTTTACTTAAAAATAAATAAATAAATATTTTTAATATAATAAGTAATTGACATATGAATGATATTTTGGGCATCCTCTCACATTACAAATACTCACTTTGAACGTTCTATTTTATCCTGTACTGTAGATTGTGTATTGTAATGTGTACTATTGTATTGTAATATTACGTTTTGTACCCATCTCATAATTCTGAATAATGTAAAGCTGTTTATTCTGATTAGTAGCTGAAGCCTGGACGCCATTAATTACTTTCAACAAACTTTAATATTTCTGTAACAAAATCAAACTGTGGCACCATCTATGCTGGCAAAGGAATCAAAGTCATAACCATTATAGAAATGGCATATTTTATAGCAGTCCATTGTCTTTTTACAGACCCCTTTCACTAAAACAAGGGGTCTGTAAAAAGACAATTATGCTTGCAAGGCAGAGCATGATAGTGGTTAGATTTCAACGCTTTGCCAACCACAGAACAATTAAGCTCTACTCCACAGCAAAAGACCTATTCACATAAAAAAGGGTCACAAATTGCAGGAGGGAACATTTAGCAATTTGCTAGCAATGATTTACTAAACAAGTTTTCCCAAACTGCACAGCTCTTCTGCAGTTTTCAGCAAACTACAGCCCCATTTAGAAAAACACTGAGAACAGCTTAATACTGTTTTGTAACTTTCTCAAAGCTTAAACTATTATTGCAATTCAGTATCATTAGATCTTATAAAGTAAACAGTCAGTACAGCATGAAAGCATATAAGCACAGTTGTGTGAAGTTCAGCTGGTTTTGTGATGGTGTGATCACTCACCCTGCAGCAGGCCCATGAGGAAGCGGGAGATGGTCATGGAGACGATGGGCTGGGAGCAGAAATGGGCTAAGATTGGCGTGAAGGCGGTCATTGCTCCCCATGCTGCCGCTGACAATATCAACACTTTCTCTCCTCCCACTCTAAACAAATCAACAAAAACAAATTAACAAGCATTTATGAACACTACATCAAATCCAAACATGACTTTTTGCATTTGAACATATTTCTGAGCATTTCTCCAGCAAACCAGACATTCCACAAGGCTTGCAACATTAAAAACTTTGTAGTGCTGCTTCAGTCTTTAGATCTGCAGCATGGGACCAATGCAGACAAGCGATTCATTGCAAGCTTCACTTGTAACGCCTACTTTATCATGTCAGGTTCCATTTCTGAGCAGGTTGTGGCTCTCTGGTGGCCACTAGACTTGGAGTTCTGTAAAATTACTGTATTTTAGCTCACATGAGAATCATATTATGAACTCACCTGCAGTAATTTCTTTAATATTATTTGAATGTAAACATTATTTTTTTTTTAATAGTACGAATTTAAACAAAGTAGACAAATAATGACATTTCATTTCTTGTTTCACTAACCTGTCACTGACGTAGCCTCCAAGCACCTGAGTGAAGCAGTAGCCCCAGAAGAAGCTGCCCAGCACCATGCCTGTCTCTCTCTTGGACCAGCTGAAGCGCTCTGCCATGCTCACTGCACAGATAGGCATGGCCACACGGGCACAGGACAAGCATGGGACCAATGCAGACAAGCGATTCATTGCAAGCTTCACTTGTAACGCCTACTTTATCATGTCAGGTTCCATTTCTGAGCAGGTTGTGGCTCTCTGGTGGCCACTAGACTTGGAGTTCTGTAAAATTACTGTATTTTAGCTCACATGAGAATCATATTATGAACTCACCTGCAGTAATTTCTTTAATATTATTTGAATGTAAACTAATAAAAATGACAAAAAGCTAAACTAGATCTAATCTGGGACAGACATCCGCTGCTAGCTGTTTGGCAATGTAACCAGTGTGATAAAGCAGACGCCATGTCACCCACAACCTGTTCAACAAATATTTAAAGCATTTCTGACATCTGGCAACTGTGATGGTTTTAAAATAGAGCCACACCTGTAAAACAAAGACTGCCGTCACATTAACTCAATATCTGAATAGAAATTCACTGTTCAGCCGCCCTTCCTTTCAGACCTTAAAATAGTTTACCTTTATGCATTATGTGTTGTGAATCAGTGAAAATAAATGCTGTGTTACTATTAATAATGAGAAAGTCAGTTTCATTCAACACTAATTTATGCAACCTACTAACTGTTGCCCAAATATACTTACAATTATAAGTCATTACTAATTTACACAGATAGGCATGGCCACACGGGCACAGTACAGCAGGCACGTCCCCAGCAACAGCACCACCGTCCATATCCTCGCTACTGGCCTGCAGATAGACAAATACAACCATATGAAGCAAGGTTTTTTTCTTCTTCTTTACAACAAACAAGATTCCAATGAGAAGTTATTACAGGCCACAGCACATAAAATTCTATTTCTAACTGGAAGGTACACATCTAGGTTAATTTGCTTCAGATGCATTGACTACTGCTGATGCACTTAAGTTCATCAACCTTTTTACAAAAAAAGATGATCTAAATAGTACAAAGATTCACAAAGTTGATTTCAATCCTCTGGTTTAGAACAAATGGTGACGAGCACTCATAGAGTGTGCTTAATAATTATAAATGTATAATAAACTTAATTTAATATTAATACATGCTTGTTCATTTTCTTATTTTGAATGAAACTTCACAATTTTGTTATAAAATGTTTAAAAACGAAATAACTGGAAAAATATAAGTATATCTATATATTTGAAAACTGATATTAAAATATTAAAATCATTTTACCCATTCACAATTTGCTGCCAAAATAAATTTAAACTTGAAACGGTAATTGTGTCCTAGAATAAAGTGAATTTCTGTGCATAATATTAATATACTTTTGTTTTATAATGTATTAATATACTTTATTATCATAGTAATGTACTTATTTGTATTAAATTAATAATCATTATTTAGAGGAAAGTTTGGTGATGTGGTCTCACCTTGTCCAGTTCTGACTCGACTCTGCCCACTTCTTCTGGGATCCAGCTTGTCCGATATTATCTGCGGGGTTCTCCTTAATACTGGCCAAATCTGGACAGGAGTTCTTTCCATGTTTTTGTAGAATTGCCATTCAAAGCCAAATAAATCCGTTTTTGACTATCCGCTCTGTTATCTTCTCGGGTCAGTCTGTGCGAGCGTTACAGGCAAAAAACCAAAGCAATGAAAAAAATATGTTTCTATTCCAGTTTCCTCGCGGAAGCATCTCTTTATAAGACCTCTGCCGCATCCATTGCGCTCCGGCGACTGGCATAAATGAGCGGACTTTCGGCTTTCACAGCTGCTATTACGCAGCGGGAGGAAATTCAGCTTTTGTCTGATTCCTGAAGTGTTGATGATGATCCACGTGTCAGTTTCTTTTTTCAGCCACGCAGTTCCTCCAACCACTGCCTCTTCAAACCAGGAAGTAACGTGACTCAGCCCCTTCCACTCATAACAATAGAAATTCAGGCATGGTTTCTCTTCGGCTAAATACCTTCATGTGAAACTGAGAACCTTATATTTTAAAGGACAGGTTTAGTAGACGCAACACCACTAATTGTGGCGAAGTTATTACAGATACACCGTTGTAGTTATGTGAAGTCCGACTCATGTCCGCGAATCGGTTCTTTTGAACAATTCGTTTAAAAACGGCTCACAAAAATGATTCTTTACGTCAATTGCGTCATTGGCAGTCCGGCGTGACATGCTAAACATTCTAAACGTTCAAATAAGGTTTAGTGCAGCTTTATGTTATTAATTGTTTATTAAACGTGTATTCATGCGTACCAGTTCAGTTTGCTGCAGTCATGGTTCAGCTCATAAAACAAACCTATTTAGAACATCAAAAAAATTTGCTTTTACAGTAAACAACACTAAAATTCATTTACATTTCTTGACTGAAATCGTTTTGCACTTTTTAATTAACTTTCGTATGCGTTGATAAAATTTCAGTCATAAACAAATCAAGCAACATTTCTACTAAGCTATTACATTTATTTTTCAGTCCATCAGTAAACTCATTGCTTCACTCCAGCTGTTCTTACTATAAAATTATTCATAATTTTATTATGAATCAGACATGTCTGATAGAGACAACTGTCATTAATAGTTAAAAGATAAATAGTGAACGATTCTTTCAGACTGGCTTTGTGAACCGGTTCATCCGATTCATTGAAAAGATCCGACTCAAAAGAACAATTTGTCCATTAATCGAATTTTGCTACATTATGTACGAGAAAAGAATAGTCAAGTCTAGGTTAATAATTTATTACCATGACAAGATTGCATTGCCAAAGAAATAGACTTGCATAGGGCAAAGTCCAAGTTGCCATAACATAGGCCTATTCTTATTTTAACTCATTTGAAGTGTAATTTCTGATTTGTATCTTTACCTGCCAGTCGCAAACCATTATAATAATCAGTCATAAGACAGCCAAGGTGGGGCTTGCATTTGCCATATTGATTTGTTAAAAAACACTGTCTGCAACATTTAATTGGACATCACAGCATAAGTATTTGGCCATAGCATTTAACAACAGCAGCAATTTTGAAAATCAAATAGAGTTTGGGGATTAAAAAAAACAAAAAGAGAATATTTAATACCCATGTAAAGCATCTGACTTTACATCAGTTGTGATCTAGAAATCACAACTGAATGTCAATGTAAGCAAGAATACTATGACAATGTACAGTAGAAAACAATGTCACGACTTTATAACATTATAATGCAATAAACATTAGTACTCAAAAAAGGGCAGATTTTCTTTGACGGGGCCCTTTAACACGCATACAAAATGTATACCTGTGCACTGCAAATAAAAGTTGTGAAAGCACACAGAACTCGTTCTGTTTTGGTACAATCAATCCACTGTCCTTGATGACGCCACTGTTGTGCCGTAGGTACCTCACATCAGTGAACACAGTCAAATAGAAGGTAAATCTAAATAGTGTGGTTCAGTCCTCAACTATATTTGTAGACTTTCTGAACATTCACTGACAAAATAGAAACATAATAATCCTCTGCAAAAACAAAATAGCTAAAAGGCGATCAATTCAGCTCGGCAAGTCAAACATTGCGATAACAAAAATCACAGAAATCCATCTGTGATAAAAAAAAGTGTTTCCATTTTGGCTAGAAGTCACCCTTAAATCTTAACAATCTCAATTCCACAGCCCATTTAATGCAAAGTCTCTGATAAGCAACAAGTAAACAAAACAAAAGTTTGATAAAAGGATGTTTGAGTGTCAGTCACTGAGTATAAATAGTTAAGGAAAGGGAAAGCGTCCATTTTGTTCCCTGCAGAATGCAAGCATGGAGATGCAGGATCGTTTTCACTTGGGGTCCTCGATGGTGCCTTTGCTAAGATCTGTCATTTTGGGGTACTTGACTTTCTTCTGGTCCAACTCGTTCTGAGCCCACAGCAGCAGTTTGAGGAGTTTGGCAAGTTTCGGTGTCGACTCCCTGTTTTCATAGTCCAGCACCGCCTGGTTTACCTCACTCCACACCTGTTATAGAAGACCACATGCTGTCAATTACTGGCAGACTGAAAGAAAAGTGACATCAGTGGAAAAGACATTTCAGAAAGTTTTGAGTTATTTTGAGTACAGATTACAAAAGACAAATTATATATATATATATATATATATATATATATATATATATTTATTAGGGCTGTCAAAATTAACGCGCTAATAACGTCTAGTCTTCATGCTCTGTGTTGACTATGGTTTCACTAATAATAAACATGCATTTGCATAAAGCATCCATATTTGTCCATGCCCTTGTTGATTAGTTTTAAAAACTTGAAAAGTATTCATTTAAGGTACATTTAGAACAGATAAAAAGGTGCGATTAAGTTGTGATTAATCACGAGATAACTCATGACAATCATGTAATTAATTGCGATTAAATATTTTAATCGATTGACTATATCCAGCAAAGTAAACCAAAAGATTGAAGGGTGATTGTCAAAAATCTGTATTTTCTGCAAGCTTTTTTCCAAGATAAATTTAGATGCCTTTCTAAAAAAGGACACTTAGAAACTCCAAAAGGACACCAAAGAACCAAATGATACAAGGAGCCCATATAAGCACATATCACAGAAAAAATAATTATAATTGTATAGTATGTGTACAGTGCAACAGCAAAGAGCTTTTTTACATTTTAGAGAAGTCAAGTTGTGATACCGAACAGGACCACATGGAGATGCCAAAAACTCCTAAACCACCGCCTGCTGAATGTAGATATCTACTATAGTACACGGATCCATTCAGAATAACTAAACACAGCAACATAAACATGACAAATCAAAACATTATCGTGAATGTGTGTGGAAACAATGTGAATGTACGGAAATGTCTGTGCCTGTGCATAAATATTTACCTCACTCCACACCTGTTATAGAAGACCACATGCTGTCAATTACTGGCAGACTGAAAGAAAAGTGACATCAGTGGAAAAGACATTTCAGAAAGTTTTGAGTTATTTTGAGTACAGATTACAAAAGACAAATTATATATATATATATATATATATATATATATATATATATTTATTAGGGCTGTCAAAATTAACGCGCTAATAACGTCTAGTCTTCATGCTCTGTGTTGACTATGGTTTCACTAATAATAAACATGCATTTGCATAAAGCATCCATATTTGTCCATGCCCTTGTTGATTAGTTTTAAAAACTTGAAAAGTATTCATTTACCACATGGAGATGCCAAAAACTCCTAAACCACCGCCTGCTGAATGTAGATATCTACTATAGTACACGGATCCATTCAGAATAACTAAACACAGCAACATAAACATGACAAATAAACATGTAGTTTGCGCCTCATCTGTGTTGTGGTGGGATGTGTTGACAATCCGTTCAGTCTGTACTTCACACAGTGCGACGTGTGAGGGCTCGCGCTCTTCAGAGACAATCACACAATATGACAGAGCTCGTGTTTTAAAGCGAAACACACTGGAAATGAATAATTCACTGAAAACACAACTCGAGTCTCTGTTCTCTCTGCAATCTCTGATGTAATCAGCCTGATTTCCTTTATATTAGCGCTGTTTTGGACGGATTGTTTGAATGCATTCACTTACTGGATCATTGGACTGAAAACTTTCCCGGAGTTTAACGGCTTAAAATGATCTGATCGCAAGCAGAGAAGCAAAATTGGGCTAAAGGGTTAGAATAGAAATTGCGCTTTAGTAATATTGCATTAATTGTGTTAAATTATTTTAACGCGTTAAGGATTGTAAAATTAATACAATATGACAGAGCTCGTGTTTTAAAGCGAAACACACTGGAAATGAATAATTCACTGAAAACACAACTCGAGTCTCTGTTCTCTCTGCAATCTCTGATGTAATCAGCCTGATTTCCTTTATATTAGCGCTGTTTTGGACGGATTGTTTGAATGCATTCGCTTACTGGATCATTGGACTGAAAACTTTCCCGGAGTTTAGCGGCTTAAAATGATCTAATCACAGAGAAGCAAAATCGGGTTAAAGGGTTAGAATAGATATTGTGCTTCAGTAATTTTGCGTTAAATTATTTTAACGCGTTAAGGATTGTAAAATTAATTGCATGCGTTAACGCTGACAGCCCTGATAATAATATATTAAAAATATAAGATAATATAGAACAACCAATGTTACCTTCTGTCTCTGCATCATGTTAAGCAGGTCACCGAAGGGCGACTCTTCTGGGTTATCAAACGCCAGGAGTGCGAGGGTGCGCTCCATCTCTGTCAGACACTCTCGGCTTTCCTCTCCCTGTTCAGCTAGCTGTGTCTGTGCAAACTCCAATGCAGCCTCAGTTTCCCGCAGGCGAATCAACTCTATCAGGTGTTGTTGCTAAAGAAGGAAAGCAGATAAATTGTACTTGTCGTAACTTTGGAATCATTCCCTTATGATTTAACATCAGACAGTTGACAGTTTGAGTCACCGTGAAACAGTACAACATCTTTCACAATACACATTTAATATTGAGGTTAACAACCAGTTTGCAAAATAAAAGTCCAACAGTGCACAACTTAGAGTGGCCCCAAAAAGTATTTGGACTCTAAGCCACAATAAATGTATACAAGTTATTACATCAGATAAAATCTTTTAGTTGGTTTGTTGGGTTCTAAATGATAAAGCAATGCTTTTCATGTGTTTGATACATTGTTATCTATGCAATGACATTCATACATTTGTAGGGTGGCTTCTCTGTCAAAATACAGCCATAAATGTCTTATAACATATACAAGATATGTAATATATATCATAAGCCAACTGTCATTAATCTGCTTTACCTGAAGATGAAAGTACAGATATCGGTTAGTGTCCAGCAGCTCAGGATGCAGACTGTTGATCAGTGCAATGGCCTCTTGAATTTGTCCCTTCAGCACCATCTCCCTAATTTTTATCCTTTCATCCAGCGAGTCCAGATCAACACTTGGTTCAATGCCTGATTCCATCCTGAACTTCTCAGCTGCCTCTTTAAACCCCTCTATGTAAATAAAAACAAACAATGTATGAAACGGATCTTCTGACACTTGTATTGAAGCTGCAAGGTGAAAAAATAAAAGTGGTAAGTTGATCTCCTACCTGTCACCAGATAATTCATAATAAGTCGATTCATGTCGGCCCGCTGAATATGAACGTTATTTAGCTTTTCCATCCACTCCTCTCGTGTTATGTCCTCTGGCTTTTCAGCATAACTCATCATGAAGTGTTCTACATTAGCAAAAAATATACATACAAATTATATATAATAAAAAATACACACACGTGTGCGCACATATACATCTACATATATATATACACATAAGACTAGGTCACTGATACAACAAGCTACAGAAAAGGATAACGAATCAGCTAATATACAATGAGAATATATAAATCAACAATGTTATAGAAATTAAGCAAGATTCAATTTTCGCTTGTGATGACCGGAAGCTCTAATTATAAAGGCCTGTATCATAACATTGAAGCCTGTAACGTTACCGCAGGAGAAGAGATCACAACTGATTTAAAAATGTCCGTTACAACAGACACATATAAACGTTAATAAGCACAGATATTCTTCAAGCTTTTATATATTACCATTCGTTGTCCACACTTAAAATAATCAGTCGATTATGCAAAAAAAATGTTGAATTTTACCTGATTGTGTACACTTTCCTCGCCAGCAGCTCGGGGAGAAAGGCCGTACTAAGCTCTCGCGATTTTTAAGGAAAACGAGATTTCAGCTATACCTTGTTTGGATTGGCCGTCGATCAAATGTATTTTAATAGCATCGAGGTAGAGTACTGCTTACATTTTTTTTTTTTTTTTAATAATTTAAAGTTTTGTCAAAATAACAAAAATATTACGTTCGTTGTAACTTCTATTTGGTTAATAATTTTACTTTATTTATTTATTTATTTATTTTTTGAATGTTTTCATCAGCCAGCACTTACCTTACTATATCGTGAATTATCCTCAATAATTTTGACACCGAAAACACAGCAGGCTTTCAGTAGATCAGAATTCAGAAATGTGTCCCGTTTGATTTGCTTCCCTTTTTCCGCCCATTTTCCTTTCTAGATCGAGCGTGACGTCAGCGCACGACTCCCATTGAGCGGAGACGCTGCTCGCGATCATAAGAATCGGACGCCGTATCTGATAACCGCAGGCTGACTTACTCCTGTTTGAAGGCCTTTTATAGATATAGGAAATAATTTACGAGGAACTGACGAACTGCACTTCTACCTTCCTTTCTCTCCTAGACGGTAAGAAATAAGAACACAGCCGGAGGAAAATCTGTGCGTCTCAATCCTGCTACACATGCATGCATGCTGCCCTTGCTCATGGATTAGTAACGTTACTGTTGGAGTACGTTTTTGAACGAGAAAGCTTAATGCAGCCCGGTGCTGACCGGTGAAGCAGCATTAAAGGGGTAGTTCACCATTAGTGAAACGTGTGTCATAATTTTCTCAACCTCATGTCGCATGACTGACATTCTTCATGAAACACAAAATGAAATGTTAAAAGACGTACAGATTCAGTCAACGTTCATTGTCATTGCATTTTATTTTCCATGCAGTTAAACCGTTAAAGTGCGGCTGTTCTGCACCGTCGTTTGTGTTTCGGAAGTGTAACAGATTTGAAACAAGTATGATTATATCATTTCCATATGTGGGGGAACCGTTCCTTTAACAAGCAAACCAATATGGATGCTGAGCGCAGAACATGGAGATTAAAGGCTCTAAATCTCCAACCCGTCAGTCAACAATGTGCCGTTTGGCCTGCATCAATATTGAAACTCTTCCCACCAGGATGCCATCAGTATTTGCGGTTATTCGTTAGATTTGCGTTGCTGCTCCATCTAAAACAATGGTCTGCTTGCTAATCATCATGGACAAGATACTGTCAGTTGTCCTGTTGTCACTGGCTTTGCTGTATCTTGACAGATAGAGAAGTGATAGGTCTTTTACTCTGTATTGCTGTAAAGTCTTTGAGTTGTAATTATCTACCCATATCAACCCATTCTAGTAGGCTTAAGGCTTTAAGTAATCATAGCTTGTAAAGCCTGCTATGTACTATATGCTTTTTGATATATATATATATATATATATATATATATATATATACAGGGCAGGACTTAGGGGGCCCCTGGGCTTGAGGTTATGTTTGGGCCCTATACCTATACTACAAATGTCCTCAAATAGAATATCATTATGTAACACAAAATACACAAACATATGCTTTGAGGTTCATAAATAGTACAATTAATATGCAACATGTCTAGACTATAGTCAAAGTTTAAATGTAATATTAAATATTCATTATAATATAATAAACAAGATGTGTTCTCTCAGTTGAGAGATCAAAACCCTGAAATAACTTTGAGCAAAAACAAAAGCCAGAGATGTTGGCTTATTAGTATTATAAAAGTTATTGTCATATCATATCGTGTCATATCGTGTTCTCTTATGTCAGGTTCTTATTGAATAAATAACTTCAATTGAATAAAAATACATGCTGGCTATAAACAATCAAATGAAATCACTATCAACTAAATTCATAGATGGATTGTGCATAAATGTTAAGTTTAAATATAACATTTTAATGTAGAAATATTAAATGATTGCAAAAATGAAATAAGCTACTTTTTAAAATATGAAAC